CCTATAGTGAACTCATTTTTGACAAATGTGTCAAGACCCTGAGGAAAAGATAGCCCTTTCAATAAATGGCACTGGGAAAACAGGATATCCATTTGCAGAAGAATGAAACAACACCCTTATCTCTTGCCACATCCAAAAACAAAATCAAAACAGATGAAAGATTTAAATCGAAGACCTCAAATTATGAAACTACTAAAATAAAACATTAGGGAATCTATTAGGACATTGGTGTGGGCAAAAATTTTTTGAGTAATACCCCACAAGCACAAGAAACAAAAGCAAAAATAGACAAATAGAATCACATCATGTTAAAAAGCATATGTGGAATAAAGAAAATAATCAAAGGGAAAGACAACCAACAGAATGGGAGAAAATATTTGCAAACTCTCCAAATTAAAAGGGATTCATAACCAAAATGTATAAGAGCTGAAACAACTCTATAGGAAAAAAATCTGTTGATCTAATTTAAAAATGTATAAAATATTTGGATAGATATTTCTCAAAAGAAAACATAAAAATAACAAACAGGCTTATGAAAAGATGTTCAGCATCATTGATCATTAGAGAAATGCAAATCAAAACTCCAATGAGACATCATCTCACCCCAGTTAAAATGACTTTTATCCAAATGATAGGCAATAACCAGTGCTGGTGAAGATGCGGAGAAAAGGAAAGTTTCATACACTGTTGAGAATATAAATTAGTGCAACCACTATAAAGAACAGTTTGGAACCTCCTCAAAAAAATTAAAGATAAAGCTACCATATAATCCAGCAATTCCACTTTGGGGTATGTAGCCAAAAGAAAGAAAATCAGCATATTGAAGAGACATCCACACTCCCATATTTTTTGCAGCACTGTTTACATCAGCTAAGATTTGGAAGCAATGTAAGTGTCCATCAACAAATGCATGGATAAATAAAATGTGGTACACAATGCAGTACTATTCAGCCATAAGAAAGACTGAGATTCTGTCATTTGCAACAACACGGGTGGAATGGGAAGTCATTACATTAAGTAAAATAAGCCAGCCACACAGAAAGACAAACCTCACATGTTTTCAGTATTTGTGGAATCTAAAAATAAAAACAATTTAACTTATGAGTATAGAGAGTATAAAGTTGATTACCAGAAGCTGGAAAGGTTGTGGAGGGTTGTAGGAGGTAGGAATGGTTAATAGGTACAAAAAGATAGAATGACTGAATGAATAAGACCTAGTAATTGAGAGTACAGCAAGTGACTACAGTCAAAATAATTTAATTGCACATTAAAAAATAACTAAAAGGGGATAATTTGATTGTAACACAAAGAATAAATGCTTGAGGGTATAAATATCCTACTTTTTCATGATGTGATTATTGTGCACTGCATGCCTGTATCAGTATATCTCATGTATCTCATAAATGCATTCATTATTTGTAATAACACAAAAATTAAAAGTTAAAAAGCATCTCATACTTTTCTCTGTTGTTATACATATTCTCCAACTAAAAATGATGGTGGGGTGGGATTATGGATCAAAAGATTACAAGGCAAAAGATTACAGGGACTATGTCTTTAAAACTTTCAAAATATGTGTAAATAGTTGCTAATGTGAGTATATGTCAACACTATTTACTTCTCTTTCACTGAAAGTTAGGGAAACAAGGAACGCGGTGGATGCTTCTTCTGAGTAAAGGAAAATAGTTTCGCTAAATTCTTGTCTTTATTTCAGAAAATGCCTGCCCTTCAAGGCAGATAAGAGAGTTTTTATATATGTATATATTTTTAAGTCTAATGTTCCCCTTTTGAGTCAAATTGTTCTTTTCTCTTTGGGTGACATTATTGATTATTATTATCTCCAATGGAAGATAGCTACATAAATGAATGGAGGGAAAGAGAAGTCGTTTGGAAATGAAAGACTAACAGAAAAAAGTACGAATATTATTTGAACCCAATTCATTTTTACTTTGATTCCTAGTTATGAATTCTAATGCTATCCAACCTTAGTTTTAGGAATCTTGGCAAAGAATTGTAACACAGGCAATTTTGACTTCTTGTATGCCATTCAACCTGCTGTCCATTCTGCAAGCCATCTTTCTTAATTATAAATCTGACTATATATAATGCCCCTGTTTAATAATATTCTAAAATAATTTACACTGTCCCCAGGACAAATGATTACTCCTATATGTTTCATCAGTTCATCTAATCTTTTCAAACCATAATTTAACTTTTACATTGCAGACATACAATTTTTTTCCCCAAATTTGTCTTATCATTTCGCACTCTCAATTGAGAAAAATCTCAATGATTTTCCCTCCCCCTTATAAAATTTTCTTTTGGATATAACAAATCTATCACAATGAAAGCATGCACACTTACACGCAAACATAAGTCTCTTGTGTTCTGTTTCCCTGTCAATTTTTAACACCGTTAATAATTCAAATGAAACTCTTATTTTTCATTGCACCACCGCTAGCCTCTAAATTGCTGGGAGTTCTCACTCCACTGATGCCTGCACAACCCTGGAAGTATAAATTTGGAAGGTGAGGGGACAGAGTCTGACTTAAGGCTGCCAGTGATACTCCGTTCACTATTTCAAAAAGTCGCATAAGTGATCTCTTTTCTTCTCTCTCCAGTTCTGTTCATTTGTCTATTGGGGTATTGTTTATCTATCACACTCACTTGGGTATTTTTGTTCATTAAATATACAAAAGACTGATACTTAAATCATTTTTGGATAATAAATATAGGTTTGCCACTAAAATTAAACAACAGAAAAGTTTGTAAAGTGGAAAAGGATTATCCACACTCTTTAATTTGACACAAGGTAACCACAGTTATATGTTTAGCCTGCATCTTTCTGAATTTTTTCTATGCTTTTGTAAAACACTTAATACATTACTGATTTTATTGATTTCCTTAATCATTGGCTTCCTAGTATCCTTGCCCTTTGCTTCAACCCTGAACTAGTCTTATGATTTGGTTTTGGCCAACATAATGCAGTAGAAGGATCTGGTGCAATTCCCAGCTCAGGCTTTACAAAGCCTGGTGCTCTTCTTCCTCGTGGACACCTGAACCTAAAATAGGATGAGCCTGAGCTACATTGCTAGCTGATAAGACACATCATATGGAAAAGAGGCTAATTGCCCCAGCCAAGGTCATTCTAGACCAGCTTCCAGCCCTGCGCTTTCCAAACATATGAGAGATCCTAGCCTTTCAGTAAAGAGGCCTACCCCATGCACAGGTGATCTCAGACACATGGATAATCTCAGCAGAGTCAAGAACTACTTAGCTCACTGGTAACCTTGTGAACAATAGTAAATGCTTATTGCATTAAACTACTGAAGTTTTGGGTGTTTTGATACCCAGAAATAAATAACTGGCAGACACATATTTACCTATACCTTTTTCCTTATAGCACCAGTATCATATTATTATATTATCAACAATTTGCTCCATTTGTTTAATTTTTGCTTCACAACATATGACAAACCCTTTAAAAATCCAACACATTAAAATTCAATACTATCTGATTTTTGGACATCTATAAATTATTAAAAGTGCCAATTCAATATAATTTTAAATGTTTTGTCAAAGTAATACATTCATGAGACAGTCCATAGTACAGAAAATAATATAATAAAAATCATATTTCCCAGTACAACTCTTCCCACCTTCAGTCCCACATACTAGATGTAATTTCCTTCAATAGTTTTTGTTTTGTTTTGTTTGGCAGTAACATTTGGAATTTTCAATAATGACTCTTACAGCTCTGTGTTTCCTGATATATAGAACATAAACGATGCCATTGACTACCTCATATGAAAAATGAGATGCGGTTCACTTACATTGCCACATATTTAGTCTATTCTACCTAATATTTGATGATGTCATGATGTTCAAATCTTTTATTAATTGTGAAACAATTAATATATTTAACCATAATTTCTTCTTTCATCAATGTTGCTCAGTAGCTAAAATTTTCTCTATGTAATTTGATTAATGTTGCTCTCATACCTTCTCGCTTTCAATTTTATCATTATATTTTCGCAATTTTTATCATAGTAAAATGTCATAACAAAATTACAAGCTTAACAATTTTAAGCGTACAGCCAAATAGTATTAAATACATTCATAATTTTGCACAACAATCACCCATCAACAATCACCCATCTACCTCCAGAATTCTTTCTGTCTTGTAAATCTGAAACTTTATAACCATTAAATGACTCTTCATTTTCTCCTGCCCTAGCACCTGGCAATCACCATTTTACTTTCTGTCTCTGTGAATCTGATAATCTAGGTGCCTCATATAAGTGTGATCATATTGTATTTTTGTGTGTGTGAATGGCTTATTTTACCTAGCATAATGTCCTCAAAGTTCCTCTATATTTTAGCATATGTCAGAACTTCCCTCTTTTCTATGCTAAATTACATTTTAGTATATCTATATATGATATTTTACTTATCAATTTTTCAGTCCATGGATACTTTTGTTGCTTCCAGATTTTAGATAACATGAGCAACATTGCCATGAACATGGGTGTATAAATATATATTTGAGACCCTGCTTTCAATTATTTTTGGTATATACCCAAAGGTGGAGTTTGGATCCTATGATAATTCTAGCTTTACTTTTGTGAGGAACTTCCATACTGTTTTCCACAGTGGTGCCATTTGACATTCTCACCAACAGAGCACAGGGTTCCAATTATTCTACATCCCTGCAAACACCTGTTATTTTCTGTTTCTTTGTATGTTTTGATGGGAGTCATTCTAATGGGTATGAGGTGGTATCTTTCTTATACTTTTAGACACCATCTTCTTTCATCCTATTGTTGGCAGTAAGTCACAGCCAGTAGTCTTCATCAGTCAAGTATAGATGTTACATCAGCCATGAAACCCAAAAATCCAGTTAGCTCCTTCCACTTCATTTCCACTTGTCCACCATTTTCATGGAAATTATATTGTCTATTAGAGAATCTAAAAATATACAGTTCATACAATCTAAAAAGATACCATCTTTACTTTTATCAAAACACCAAATGTTGAATATGCAAGCTACACAGGTAAAGGTGCTCTTTGGTGTTGACAGAGGAGGGCTGGGCTGCCTATGGTTTCCTGCAGAAGAGAGAAAGGACAGAAGGTCAAGATGGTTATCCTTCACTGCCTTCATCCCATCCCTCATTATGATTCTTCTTCCATCTTCTGCCATATGCTTTTGTCATTTCCCTTGACTTCCATCTGTGACCTCTGTGACTGTTTAGCAAAAAGTACTTAGGAGTATCTTTGTAAAACCTGAATTAAATTAAGTCACTTCTCTTTTCCAAAGCACTGGAAGGTTTTCCTATCTACTCAGATAATATTTTTTTAAATATTTACCATGTGACGTTCAAGCACAATGTGATGAGGCTCCTCACTGTTTCTCCTAATTTGTCTCTGTCATTTCCCTCACTTGCATTCTCTTTTGGTCACACTGTCTCATTGTAGTTCTTTTTAAACACGTTTAGCATTTATCTGCCTCAGGGCATTTGCCCTTGTATTCTGTGCTGGAACACCTCTCCTGCATAAGAACCTCATGGTTCACTCTCCAACTCTATCCATTCTCTATTCTAATTTCATTATTTCAAGGAAAGTTTCCTGAATAAAATACCTACAGTTGAGCATGTGTTTTCTACTGTCCAATAACTGTGGCTGAATGTCAGTAATGAGAGAGCCAAGTAAAAAGCACTCCCTGGCAGAACCTCCCACCAGCCTGTGCACTGGGAAGAATGTGCACTGGGGTGGAGCCTTGGGAAGTTCATGCCATTTGCAGCAGGGAGAAGCCTGGCCCCTCCTCTTCCTGGGTGGTACCTGGTATTCAAACTGCAAGGCAGAAAGGCACTAGCAGGATTCTGGCTCTGTGAAGGGTCCGTTTCCCATTTTTTTTCCTTTTCACACAATAAACCCTGCCCTCTTCACCTTTCAGATTGTCTGTGAGTCTAATTTCTCATGGTCGTGTAACAAGGACCCCATCTTTAGCTGAACTAAGGAGAAAGTCAACAACAGTAATGTGATACATGCACTCAGAGGACCAAAGCCTTGCTTTCCCCATAGTTAGTTCCTGTGTTTACTCTTGTTTTGTTCAAGGTCTGATGCAATGTTGGCAACTAAGTGTGGCAGATGGGAGAGAAACAGAGAGAGAGACAAAGAGAGGGAGTGTATGAGAGATCGATGAATATAATTAATAATGGTAACATTTATACATTACTATTTTAATAATTACTAACCTAGGACTTTCATTGTGTATTACATTTTGCTGCAATTTTCCTTACCTCCTTGATTGATTATATAGTTGGGGGAAACTAAATGCATATAAGTAGAATAAAAAAGAGCACATAAATTCTCACCAGACTGCGTCAATAAAGAACTCTAACTTGACCATACAAGTGGTCAGCTGTCATTGGCATTGAACTTCACCACTAATATAGCTCTTTCATTTATTTCACCCTCCAACAACTCTCAATACTTACATTTTCAATTGCCAGGAAAGAGGTAGAAATCTCTTGTCAAGGATACTCGTTCTATGGTGGGCATCTGGGCTTTAGCCATTGGAATTTCAAATGATTTCTGTACCTAAAAGAAAAAACAGTAGATGAGATAAAACTCAGAAAGCACTTTGCACCATGAACCAGGAAATACCTGGAATGAAGACAGCTTCCAGGGTTGATAGGACCAAGCCCATGGATATTCCAACTCCTTAACGCTGCTACCCTACCTCTTAGAATTGACACCCCATGTCAGACTGTACACTTTACATCAAAATAAACACTGCATGCCAAGTCAAGGCTTTTCAACCTCCATTTTCTCTATTTTCCATTTTTGACCTACAGATGTGGAAATCAATTAAATATCCCTTGAGATATGCTCATGAGAACTGGATATGGAAGACAGTACTTTCAACCCTCACCAAGGCTGATTCTTCAATTTAAGTAGAATTAAATCCCAGAATCTTGCTTTAAGGCCTGAACACTGAACAACTTTCATGCCGACACCACCAAGCTGACCCCTGAAATCTTATGCAAGGACTGATCAGTGAGATCCTGCTTACCGTAAATCCAGTATTTCTAGTCTTTTTCCAGGAATACCCTCAAAAGTACAATGTCTCATTCCTAATCATCCAAAAGGACTTAACGTCCCAGTTCTCTATTCACAGAAACCCTGTCTCAATTTATAGTACAATCTTCTTTAAACGCCAGTGGTATATATTCTTCTTCCCACAAGAGTTTTACTGTTTTCTACAATTTTTAATTTAGAAACAACCACACTTTCCTGTGTTAATACCAATCCTATTTTCCCTTAAAAAGAGAAGGAACATTTATCTATTCATTTATGCATCTATTTATTCAATATATATTAATTGAATGTCTGCTATATGTCAGGCATATTGAGGTGCTGAGCAAATCCCCGCCTTCTTGAAGTTTGCATGTTAGTGAGTAAATACAGGTAAAAAACAGACACATAAATAAACTATTAATATATGCTTAGTGGGAGGAGGTAAGAACTGTGGAGAAAATAAAGTAGGAAGGACGGGGAATAAGGAAGGTCCCAAGTTGGGCAAGTAATAGTAAACCTTCCCTTCTGCCCTTTTCCATGGAAAGAGTGATTTCTTTTTTATTCCCTCTTACATGCCTTTCTGAATTCTACCACAATGTGTAATTACACATTTTTTTGTCAGCCCATATTTCCAGTATCCATATCTCTCACAAAAGTGTGAGTCCTAGGTAGTCTTAAGCCATGCAAACCTCATTTACCCCTTTGTTATCAGGATGAAGTCCATCACCTCCATCCAGTTTTTATTCATTTAGTAAATTAATCAAAATTATTTCAAAATGTTTTCTATTCTCTGAATTTTAATAACTTACAACCCAAAACATGAAGCTTATAGCTGATATTATTTTGTTTTACTTTGCTCTTCTTCTGGGATATATTGACAATTTCTTTCTCTAAACCAGATTTTAAACACCTGAATGACAGAAATCAGGTGCCGTTCTACTTTTGCTTGCCTGAAGAAGTGTGTCATTTTCATTCAATTAGGGAATAATGATAAATTCTTTCTGAGCAAATAAATAAATGACTAGAAAAGGAAACGGAAGCTTACCTTCTGAAATATTTTCATTAGGTGGTAGCACCAAGAATATTTCTGGAAGCATGTGATAAGTTCCATGATGAAGATGGAGCCCTTTGTGCAGTCTCTCCAGGACATGTTATCTATGATGATACAGACTGATATACCTTGGGCTACGACTTTCACTATGTTTTTGTTTATATTTTTGTTTTTGCATAGCTTGGGAATTTACTTGATAGATTTATGGAAATCCCTTATAACCTAACATTTACTTAGGTTTCACACAGAGGAAACAGAAAAGCTGGCAAAGGTTGAACAAAAAAGACAGCTTGTAAACATTACCAGAGATTGCATAGTGATTGTATTTTCATTCTTGGAACTGACTTTCTATTATGGACCTCATGTTCATTCACTTTGCTTAGAAAAGGGGTCTTGAGAAATAACTGGAATTGTTCCACTTTACAAAGTAAAGAACAGAAGCCCAGAAGGATGAATAAAGGTTCAGTGAGGAAGCAACAAAAAATTGCTTTCTGGTTCCAGGATTGTTTACAGATTGCACCATGATGTCTTTTACCATACAATAAACAAAATAGATGAACACATCCAAAGTTTCAGTTATAGAAGATTAAAATATCATAGAAAAATACTGTATAATATGGTGCCAATAGTAAATAATCCTGTCTTATACACTTAAAAATTTGTAAAGAGAGTAGATCTTATGTAAATTATCTTTATCACACCCTTGCAGAATGATGATAATAATGAATAGAGAGCTGGAGGAATCTTTTGGAGGAGACAGAGATATTTACAGCATAGATTTGGGTGATGATTTGAGGGGTGTGTACTAATCTCCAAACTTATTAAGTTGCGTGCATTAAATATGTACAGTTTTTGTATGTCAGTTATGCCTCCATAAAGTGGTTTAAAAATAAGACTTAAAAATTTACAACTTGGAAAGAGTAAAATGTAAAGACCTTTAGGATGATTACCTAGAGGTGAAATGCAAACCACTGTTTCCTGTAATTAGACCTAATTAGCCCCACCCTAACATTTCCTACTTTTTTTTAAAGGGCATTCACATTTTTACCTGGACACTCAATAACATTGCTCTTTGTAGGATCAAGTGGAATGTATGTGGAAGAGGGCTTGAAGTTGCTCATTTAGAAAGACAGCCAGTACTGGGATCCATAAAACTTATATTCAAAATGTTAAATGGATTTGATAAAAAAACAGAATCCATCATTTATGTTTACATGGTGTGTGATGAATGCGGTTACTTGTATTGTATTGCTTTACAATATTTGGCATACCTTTGACTGTAAAGTGTAACACTTATAAAAAAACTACAATTTCTTAAAATGTGTGTGTGGGAGGGGGAAGGAATCTGTTCTCACAGCACACATAAGATCATGCAAAATATATAGAGAGCACACACCATTCTCTCAACTCATTGTTGCCTAGGGCCTATGTTGATTTCATAGGGTCATTCAAAGGTGTCCTCAGCACCCCCACATTTTTTACTGTTGCTAAAAGACACATACGTGGTGTTGAAGAACAGAAAGCAATGAAGTCCTTCTCCACGTGGACTCTGCAAACAGAATCTTCCTCCAGGTTCTCAGGTGACTGTGAAGAGATGACTGCCAAGGATGCTGGAGAGTCTCTGACCCAGTGTTCCCCACGTCCTTCTGTAGAGACATCAAAGATACATCAACTTTCTTTTCTTTTTTTCTGTCTTTTAGGTTACGTTAAGTTCCAGAATAGAAATGCAGAATGTGTAGGTTTGTTACATAGTTATATGTGTACCATTGTGGTTTGCTGCACCTATCAACCTATCATATAGGTTTTAAGCCACGTGCATTAAGTATTTGCCTTAAGACTCTCCTACCCCTTCCCCCCCGACCTCCCGACAGGCCCCAGTGTGTGATGTTCCCTTCCTTGTATCCATGTGTTCTCACTGTTCAGCCCTCACTTATAAGTGAGAACATGCAGTGTTTGGTTTTCTGTTCCGGCATTAATTTGCTGAGGATGATGGCTTCCAGCTTCATTCATGTTCCTGCAAAGGACATGATCTCATTCCTTTTTATGACTACACCGTATTCCATGGGATATATGTACCACATTTTCTATATCCAGTCTATCATTGATGGGCATTTGGGTTGGTTCAAGAGGCATCAACTTTTTATACACTGCTGTGCCTCCCTTACCATGGCTATCACAGTTGCCCACCTTGTTATTTTTCAGTGTTCTTTCTAACTAATTTAATACATATATACAGACCCACACACATGCAAACACACACACACACACACACACACTTTGCTTCGTCTCTAGTGTCATTCAACAATGTGTCAATTAACAGTGAATTTATCATGTCATTACCAGTTTTCAGTTAAGTTATTTCTGCTTTCTTAAAAAACAAACAAAACATACATCCCAATAGTCATGAGGCAATTGGAAGTCAGGAATAAAAAGAGAGAGAGAGAAGATTGACTTAAACCCCTTAAGTTTTCTTAACTCCCTACTCGTTTTCCTTTCAACAACTATAAATAAATAGGGTGCGTGTCTCACATGATAACTTCAGTTTCAAGTGCAAATTCTTCAGAAACCACATAATGTCAAAATGTCTGTAAAACATTTACAAATCAAGCTATCATGAAAATGATTCCATTCCAAAGTTTCAGTATTTCTGTTTAACTTTGATTTAGGGATTCTGGTGATCTCCCTCACCGCTTACTGTGGATAAAATTGTACAGAAATTTCTCCGCTGATGAGACAATTTCTCATTATACCAGACCCTTAGGTAGAGTTTCTTTAGAATTCATTGTACTTTATTTGCACTAGATGGGGTCTAAGACTGTTGCCCCTAAATATAAACTAAACATCAAAATCCTCTGCATACACCTTCATAACTGTTAGATGTTCAGTCCCAGCACTCACCGCCTCTGCAGGCCTGGACAATGATGACCTTGGGTTTGTCCTTTAGACTGAGGCAGTTTCGGTTGTTGAATATCTGGAAGACGGTGTCATAAAGCAGCACATCTGGGTTTTTCTCATCATGTGCAGTTCCGCAGATTCCCTCCAGGATGCCATGAGACATGAGCACTAGGAACGTGCTATCGGAGGACTTGTGCTCTGGTCGCCTAGCAAAAGCCCTCAGTTCTGACTCCATTTCCTGTAAAAGAGCAATGTCTAACTTCAGTCAGAGAAGCATCACAATTAATAGGATGTCCTAGATTTACCATGAGTGAAACAAGTAAAATATGTAACATCTGTGTCACGGTGCTTCGCATAGTGCTTACTCAGTCATGACAGCTGTTTTATGTTTTTTGTTTTTTTGTTTATTTTTTCCTTCGTAGCGGAGCTGTGGGTTCCTACTTTTTCTCCCTGATGACGCACCATGCACTGTCTTCTTAATATACTGTATATTTTTATATGTTACTTATATTACTTTTTTTAAATCTCAATCTTGTCTCTTCTTTCCTAACAAGAGTCATGTGTTATAAGTGCATCACAGCACCGTCCTTATAAAATCCAATGTACGTTGCTTAGAATAAAATCAATCTTCTTGCCTGACCATTCTCACCCTTACATTATGTCTGTTCTGCTTCAATCTCTAGTCATACTGGTCTTCTCTTGTGCCTCACGTGTGCCAGTTTCATTTTCAGCTCAGCTCTTTCACAGGTAGCTCCCCCTACTTGGAAGGCACTGCATTCACATCTTCCCAGAGCCATCTCATTCCTTTTGGTAGTTCAGTCCAACTCCTGTGTTCTCTCCCGACAGAGGCTTTTCTGGACCAACCCAAAAACGTCACACTCCATCCAACATTCCCTCTCATGTTTCCTTTTTGTTTTCTTTTTGCTTATTTTGGATTCTCTTCTTATTCTTATGCAGACACATACACACACTCATTCTCTGAAATTGGTCTGGTTTTGCTTATATTGTGAGATTTTACCTCCACTCTAACCTAGATCCTTGTAAATTTGAAGCTTCTTGTATCATTTACAGACTTATCCACAGCATCAGGAAAAGCTCTTGGCCCCAAAGTTTGGATTTAATATTTGTTTTAAGAGTGCACTCCTGTGCCAAGTGCAGTGACTCACGCCTGTAATCCCAACACTTTGGGAGGCTGAGGCGGGCAGATCACGAGGTCAGGAGATCGAGACCATCCTGGCTAACACGGTGAAACCCCATCTCTGTTAAAAATACAGAAAATTAGCTGGGCATGGTGGCACACGCCTGTAGTCCCAGCTACTCGGGAGGCTGAGGCAGGAGAATTGCTTGAACCTGGAAGGTGGATGTTGCAGTGAGCCGAGATCATGCTGCTGCACTCCAGTCTGGGTGACAGAGTGAGACTCCGTCTCAAAAAAAAAAAGTGCACTCATGCCAAAAACACATTACTCTGTGATTTTCTGTGAAATCTTGGGGCTACATCCCAATCACCTGATCTTACTGGAACTCAATAATAATTGTGAAAATACATGCCAATCATATTTTGTCTAGTTTTATGGAGTTGAGGGTATTTGAGGCTCAGAAGAGACACAGATTTATGTATTCAATAGTTTCTTTTGCTAGTGCATGTGTGCGTGTATGCGTGCGCACACACACACATGAACCCAGAGGTTGTTAAACCTTGTTGAACTTCTATAAAGCTAACTAATTAGAAGAATATATGTTGCCCATGGGTGAGTGTGAGATGGCTTAGGGGTTCTTACCCTGGCTGTGAGTTTCGTTTTGTCAACCACGTTGTAGCCCAGGCCCTGAAGCAGCCCTTTCATCCCCAGGATGTCAAAGTGAGCCCCAGTCCTTGGTGGCAGATGATCAAACTCTGTATTGCATATGATGAGAGCTAGGCGTTTGCGGTCCTCTCTCTTTTTTATTGGATAGATCTGCAGGAGATGGAGATGAAGCGACTTTGATTACCTGAGTCTCTTTTCAACCTCCATATGCCTCATTATTTTGCTTTTTTCATGCAGCTGCCCCCTTCTCTAAACTCTATCAGAAGACACTGCCTTCCCCTCTCTCTCAAGAGCCCAGACCAAGAACCAGGACATATCTGGAATTATTATTTAACTTTCCTCTCTCTAGAGCCCAGAGCAAGAACTGGGACATATCTGGAATGATGACTCAAGAATCTTGAGGAAACTGAATAATTCCTACCCCCTTCCTTCGTTTTCTTCTCCACCTACTCAAACATTTCTTATATTCAGGTTCAAATCAAATTTCATATAAACCAAGAGATGTTGTCATTGGCTCCAGTAAAAATAAATATAGCAAATATTCTTTGCCTTTGATACTATTTTAAAAACATAAACTTACAATGATTTTCAAGATTTAATTATACTTTTCAAATATATTTTATGTCTAGGCTTTTCAACTAGAGTACAATTACTACTCAGCCCTGTTATCTTAAAAACATTTTTATTTTGTGACTATATCTGAAATGGTAGTAAATCCCAAATAGATACAAAAATCAATAAATGATAAAAATGAGGAAGCTACATTTTATCATGGGTTGAAAGAGCATTGGTATCTGTTTGAAGCCATATGAATCCTTGCCTACTGAAAGCATCTATCGTAAAGGTTACCACTGTCACCACCCCCTCATCATTTACTGCTTTATGTATTTCTGCATTTATGGCTGGTACTGTGGCTCCAGCCTGTAATCCCAGCGCTTTGGGAGGCCAAGGCTCATGAAGACAGGATTTGGAGAACAGACTGGGTGACATAGTGAGACTATGTCTCTACAAAAAAAAAAAAAAAAAAAATCAGCCTGGCATGGTAGTGTGCATCTGTAGTCCTAATTACTTGGGAGGCTGAGGCTAGAGAATCTCTTGAGCCAATGTGTTCCAGACAGCAGTCAGCTATGATCACACCACAGCACTCCAGGCTGGGCAACAGAGCAAGACCCCATTTTTTAAAATGTGCATTTAGTGAAAGCAATTGTTTCTCTCTTTTTCCCCATTTCATGCAGAGAGCACGGAACCTCATCATGGTTTTCTTTACACCGTCTCAGGAATTCTTCATGAGGACAAAGTATGAGAGTATTTGTAGATTCTGCTGACTCAGGTGGTCCAGCCTCAATTTGCAGAAGAGCTGTGGGATATCACAAAATATAAATTAAGATCTAAAATTGACACCCTAACATCACAATTAGAAGAACTAGAGATGCAAGAGCAAACACATTCAAGAGCTGGCAGAAGGCAAGAAATGACAAAGATCAGAACAGAACTGAAGGAGGTAGAGACACAAAAATACCCTTCAAAAAATCAATGAATCCAGGAACTGTTTTTTTGAAAAGATCAACAAAATTGATAGACTGCTAGCAAGACTAATAAAGAAGAAAAGAGAGAAGAATCAAATAGATGCAATAAAAAATGATAAAGGGGATATCACCATCTA